CCCTTCCCCCCCCTCTAAAAAAAAAAAAAAAAAAAAATCCTGAAGCAAGATGTTTAACAGAAGCATTAATGGCATGTGAGGGGTACCCTTGCCCCATTATAAGTAGAATGATCCCTCTGTACTTCGCTAGTCTGTGCCCTCTTCTCAGGGATGTTCCCACCCAGAGACCCTGAAGAAGAACCACCACTCAGACTCCTGAGCAAGTGGAGCCGCAGTGTGCACAGGCCCCCGCCTCTCCTGGAGCCAGGCTTTGAGCTCCACATTTCAACACCAGAACAAAGGTTCTTATCTTCTATGACATTCGTGGAACACTCTCAGAAAGAAACACCAGATTGTTCTCCATCCCAGTGTCTCCTGCTAATTCGAGGGGTGTAGACAAAGAAAATTGAAGTAGATAGATCTTTAACGTCACTGATAAAATCAATTAAATAACTTTGAGAAGTTGACATTTTCTTGAGTTTCTTCGAGACAGAAGGACTTAGAAGCTAGGTTGACTGCAACTCTCCGGGACTGAAAGAGGTTCCAGACTATTGGGAGCCTGAGGGAGGAGACTAAGCCTTCTCTCCAACATTTGCATCAGTTAAATTCTGCTGGGCTGAATCATGCTATTTCACCCTATTTTACAAAATGCAATAGCTTTTATGTCCTGCAGATAAAGCAGTTCCCTGCATCGGTTATGGCATCCATAGCTGGACCCCTGAGTGTCCAATTATGAGCAGGTTTCCGATGTGAGTCCATAGCTCTTGCCCTATCTTGCCAGATCCTTCTTAAAAGATTCAATTATTTGGCTATAATTGCAACTGTCAGCACATGCTGCCTCCAATCTCTACATCGGCAAACTTTTCTCTTTTTAACTCGCATTCCTTTGATGCATTTTTACCTGAATAATGCTTTTCAGAGTCCTTTCACAATAGCGCTCTGTTCACTGGAAATGTAGGACCTTTCAAAACTGTTAACACTGTAAAACATCATGTCTCCTTTTGACAAAGAAAAAGAAAGAACCAACGAAAAGCTAGAGCTGATATCAGACACTAAACTTTGGCTGCTCTAAATTGGAATCTTCTCTGATAAGCCCTGTTAGAAGGACTCTGAAGCCTGCTGAAATGGGCCTACAAAGGGGCTGGGCAAAATGCCTCCAGGGAATTCTTAAATCATTCTAAGAAAGTTGCCACCGTTTTCGCTGCTTGGAGAAACAAGGGTCCTGGTTGTTAAATTCAAATTCAAAACAAGTCTGCCATCCCCCCCACCCCTTATCAGTTTCCAAAGCTCACTCCTCCAGCTATGCGTTGAACAACTCCTTTCAATTCCTGCTGTAAATCAAAGCCTTTAAGGAGCAGTGAGCGAGCATCCCACATTTGCTTCCCTTCCCAAATCAGGCGCATCTGTCTTTTAAACCGTATTTCTATAGGTTTTG